GCCGCGCCGCCAGAGCACGATTTCTGTTCTTACCCTGAAGCAAAGTTCTTAACCTGTAGCACTATTTCTGGGTTAGCAGAGTCTGTAACCTGAAGTGTATGTAACCTGAAGCGTACGTAACCCGAGGTATCACTGTAGTATGAATGCCTTTTAATTTACCTTGCAGTTCCTCTTTGGAGATTGCTTTGGGAAAGAGGCAACGGATTGTGTAAATGCCTACATCTTCCCGCCACATGTCCACCAGGTCCCATTCAGTTAATATTTCTGCCACGTTTGGGTTGCAGATTTTGTTCACAGATTGGTGCCTAATTTGGTCCTTGGTTTCATCTCTGCAGTTACTGAAGTCTCCACCTATTGTAGTTTGTCTTCTTTTAAAATTGTTCTAATTCTGTGAGCGTGTTCCAGAGAAAGCATTCTTGTGCTGAGTTGGGTGAATATAGACAGGCGATGGTGAATGGATGGCTGCCTGTGACACCGCAAACAAAGAGGTATCTCCCCTTTGGGACTTCAAAACTTTCCCCAACACTCAGAGGGCAGTGCTTCCTTATCAGGATAGCAACTCCCTAAGTTTTCCCAGAACCAGGAATTTGTAGTTGCTTGCCTATCCAGCATCCTTTGAGATAGGCAGCTTTCTTGCATTGATGTGTCTCCTGCAGGAGAACAATGTCTGGATCAGGGCTTTTTTCAGCTGGAACTCACCATAAATCAGTTTTGGCATCTCTCAGGTGAGCACCATTGCCATTCTAAGAGAACTGTAAAGTCTGATTGGGAATGTACTATGCAAACTAAATGGGCAGGTCTGTATTTTAAGGTATATATGTATCAATTTGTTATCACTGTACTTTAATTGTGCATCTATGCATATTCTGCAGTATCCATAGAATATTTTTTATCTGCTTTTTGGTTGAAATGACCAGGATGGTTGCAACAACAACAACACTTGGATGGAACTGAATTGACTATCAAATACCTATGTCAGGGAACTGCCATCGGAGCTAGAGGCGGAGGGAAGGCTCCAGAGGGATGCCGGAGAGGGTCCTAGTAGGGAGAGAGGCAGCCCATCTACGGGGGAAGGAAATCAGCGTAACACCAGCGGAGAAGGGGGGCAGATGGGGGAATCGGAGGGGAGGCTCCAGGACTCCTCACCAGAGACCAGCGGAGAGAGTACGGGTACTCCGCTGCCCACACCCTCCCTGCGCAGGAGACTTCTGCGCAGGGAGAGTAGGAGGAGACTTGGCGTCAAACAGCTTTTATGCTGGAAAAGGTTCAAGAAACGCCCACTGATGGATTCTGCCAGCGACTGAGACAGCCACGAAACTTGAGGCTGTCCAGACAGAAAGGGTTCAACCAGGTAACCTAGCCAGGAGGGGCGGCAACTTACGCACGAGCAACCCCTAGAACCATTACAACCCATTCTCTTCACTCCACACATTCTACACCTATAAAACATACAGATATATTAATGCAGATGTTATGTGCGAAAACCGTTTATTTTGATCATGAATTTCACCAATTGTGAAAAAGAGAACCCAGGAGGCCAGAGAATCTACTCTCATCACGAGGCTCCAATCTACTCATATCACTAGGCTCCAATATTCTTCTGTGGAATTCAAAAGGAGGAGACTTTTCCTTTCCCTATCTACCCTTCATGGTCATTCTGCTTTGAGGAGTTCTCAGGATCGTAGCATTTGGCTTCATATGCTTTTAATATAATTATTTTATATTTTAAAAGTTTTCCTTGAAAGGCACACAAGTCTTCAGATGCACAGCCTTGGAATGTCAGTTTCCATGTGAACGTCCAATCTGGGAAATTAAAAACATAAGGTTTGCATGAGATTGGATTATGATGGTTATTTAAACTCATTGTGCTTATAACCAACCCACTATATGATTAATATGGCTACCAGATATCCCTGGTGCATGCCTTAGAAACCTTACCCTGTGAGCAAAATTAAACCTAGCAGTTGGCCTAATTTCACCCTTTTACCAATTCGAAATCACTTGCCTTCAACTGACATTCTACTACATCAGATATGTGGCACGTAAATTCACTGCTACAGCGAAACAACTGGGATTTTTTGAAAACCACTCTGAATTGCTGCTTGAAAAGCAGGGCTTGCAGACATCGCCAAGGAGCTGAACCCCTTGTTGAAAGAAAGGTATGGTCCTTAAAAAGTTGGTTATGTTGTTTATGTATGCTATCATCGCAGCCAGAATTTTGTATGCACTGTTCCAACAAAAGTGGAGTGGGCTTTAAAACTATTGGTTTTAAACTACACTTTTTCCCCTCCAAAAATTAAGGGGAAATGTGCATGCGTCCTATGGAGCGAATGCAGGCTCCTTGGCTTCAGCGATAATAATAATAATAATAATAATAATAATAATAATAATAATAATAATAATTTATTATTTGTACCCCGCCCACTCTGGGCGGCTTCCATAGAAACCAAAAAACACTAAAATATCATACATTAAAAACTTCCCTGAACAGGGCTACCTTAAGATGTCTTCTGAATGTCAGGTAGTTGTTTATCGTTTTGACATCTGATGGGAGGGCATTCCACAGGGCGGGCGCCACTACCAAAAAGGCCCCCTGCCTGGTTCCCTGTAGCTTTGCTTCTCGCAATGAGGGAACCGCCAGAAGGCCCTCGGCGCTGGACCTCAGCGTCTGGGCAGAACGATGGGGGTGGAGACGCTCCTTCAGGTATACTGGGCCGAGGCCGTTTAGGGCTTTAAAGGTCAACACCAGCACTTTGAATTGTGCTCGGAAACATACTGGGAGCCAATGTAGGTCTTTCAGGACTGGTGTTATGTGGTCTCGGCGGCCGCCCCCAGTCACCAGTCTAGCTGCCGCATTCTGGATTAGCTGTAGTTTCCGAGTCACCTTCAAAGGTAGCCCCACGTAGAGCGCATTGCAGTAGTCCAAGCGGGAGATAACTAGAGCATGCACCACTCTGGCGAGACAGTCCGCGGGCAGGTAGGGTCTCAGCCTGCGTACCAGGTGGAGTTGGTAGACAGCTGCCCTGGATACAGAATTGACCTGCGCCTCCATGGACAGCTGTGAGTCCAAAATGACTCCCAGGCTACGCACCTGGTCCTTCAGGGGCACAGTTACCCTATTCAGGACCAGGGAGTCCTCCACACCAGCCCGCCCCCTGTCCCCCAAAAACAGTACTTCTGTCTTGTCAGGATTCAACTTCAATCCATTAGCCGCCATCCATCCTCCAACCGCCTCCAGGCACTCACACAGGACCTTCACCGCCTTCACTGGTTCTGATTTGAAAGAGAGGTAGAGCTGGGTATCATCTGCATATTGATGGACACCCAGTCCAAACCCCCTGATGATCTCTCCCAGCGGCTTCATATAGATGTTAAAAAGCATGGGGGAGAGGACGGAACCCTGAGGCACCCCACAAGTGAGGGCCCAAGGGTCTGAACACTCATCCCCCACCACCACTTTCTGAACACGGCCCAGGAGGAAGGAGCGAAACCACTGTATAACAGTGCCCCCAGCTCCCAACCCCTCTAGACGGTCCAGCAACGCGAAGCCTCCAAAGCACAGAGGGAGCACTCCCTCCACACTCCGGAGGCTTCACATTGCTTTCGCTGAAGCCTGGAAAGCGACCCCTCTCGCTCTCCAGGCTTCAGGGATAGCCGCCTGAAGTCTTCGGAATGCAGTGCAAGTTCCCGCTGCTCTCCGCAGGCTTCGGGTTCCTTTCGCTGAAGCCAGGAAAGTCTTGCTCCGGAGGCTTCGGGATGCCTTCTGCCTTCTGCTGAAGCGCACCAACCCCTCTCGCTCTCTAGGCTTCAAAGATAGCCCCCTGAAGCCTCCGGAGCACAGCAGGAGCTCCCGCTGTGCTCCAGAGGCATCAGGTTCCTTTCGCTGAAGGGTAGGTGCCCCTTCAGCTAAGTGGGAGGAGAAATGGAAGGGGCTCCATTTCTCCTGCCGCTTCACTGAAGGGGCGCTGCACAGAGAGGGGGAGATTTTTTTTTCTTGTTCTCCCCCTCTAAAACAAGGTGCATCCTATGGTCGGGTGCGTCCTATAGAGCGGAAAATATGGTATATGAAATGGTCAGCAAAAAATAAGATGACCAAACTAGCATTGCATCAGGTGCAACCCAAAGGCTACACTCAGATGACACTTCTTTTCCTTTTCCCAATATTTCCTTATCATCTGTTAATTTTTTGCATTTTAAGTGATCTTTCACACAACATAAAAGTCAGATCTAGTGGAATCTAGCAGATGTTTAGCACTAATTTAGCACTAATCTCCATGATAATTGTTTCCAGAAAAGAAATCCCTCAGCAGTCATGTTGACTCAAAATTGCCTGGCACCCTCGGGTCCAATGGAGGACACTGCCCTGTTGCCGGTGTTGATGTAAGAGTCAGCTGTCAGTCAGCTTTTGTACATGGATTAGGAGGCCAGTCTCATCTTGCCCTTTGCCTCAGGCAAATGACTGAGAAAAATGCATTCATCTCTATCTATAGCTATAGGTGTTATGTGGAACTAAGATGGAGACATAAGAATTATCTTGGAAACAGAAGAAAGATCTTTTGTTTCAGAGCAAAAGAAAGATCTTTTGCTTTTCAGTAGTGGGAATGTGAAAATAACCTAGTTGCAGCTGGGATAATGCAAGCGTTCCTGTAGGACCATATTGGTATTGCACAAACGCCCTTCCACATCCCCACTGGGTCCTGGTGAGGTGACATGACTGCTTAGATTATGAATGTCTATTGTCCGTTTGGACTCCAAGACTCAACATTTGCCCCAGAGAGTAGAATGCCTGTGCTTGATCAGTGCCTGTGAGATGACCAATGAAGATAAGATACTATTAAAGATACTATTGGAGGCAAGGATTCCTTAAAAAAAAAAAGTATTGTCCAAACCACCACCAGCTCTTCAGAGTGTCCAAGATCTTCTTCAGGTCAAGCAGATGATCCCCAGTCCCTCACCATTCATTTGACAAGAGAGGGTTTTAAAAAAAATATTTAAAAATCTGATTTATTTATTGTGAATTTTGCAAGTAATATACCCCAAAATGTGGAGAGACATGGACAATTGTCCTAGACACGGAAAGGGATGTGTTCTGTGTTCAGCAGAAATGGTTAGTTGTTAAATATCGCTGAAGAGGCCGCACCCCTGGGGAAGTTCAAGCAGGGCAGTTCCAGAAGACGGCTTTTCAGAAGTGACTTTGTGGAAACAGGCATCTCCCAGAGCCCCTTCCATCTCCAAAACATCAGTACTGTGCATTGTCCAAACAGGCTCCAGGACCGTTGAGCTTGTTTCAGAGAGCAGAATGCCTGTTATGGTGGGCATGGCCCAGCAAATATCTCATTACAAGACCCTGCTATCTGCTGGTGTGACGGACCAAGGGAACTTTATATGCTCTGCAGTTGTCATGGTGCTTCTTCTGCTGGGGTTATTTGGGTGGCTGCCTTTTTCTGGGCTGAGACCAAGTGCATGTACCACCATAAGTTGACTGTAGCTAGAAAAGAAACAGAAAAAGTAGAGGCCTTTAACCACCTGCCTACTTCCTTTAAAACAGGTGTGGCAAAACCTTTGCCCTCCAGCTGTTGCTGAGCTACCACTCCCCATCATCCCTGTCTACAATTCCCCAGAGTGGGTTAACAACCAATCCTTCATCCCAGGGAATTCTAGGAATTGCAGCTCTGTGAGGGAACAGGGGGTCTCCTCCCGGGAACCTGAACAAACGACAATTCCCAGGGTTCTTTGGGAGAAGTCACAACTGCTTCTCCCAAGTGCTTTAAATGTACAGTGCAGATGTGGACTAAACACTATCTGTGTATGCCAAAGGCAGAAATCCCAAAGCCTGTCCCTTGCACTGATAATGCTTATTTATTTGGGATCCTTTGGCGTGGGTCTTTAATTAAGCCACAACAAATGCTTTGAAAATATTCTGCCCTCCCTCCTCGTTTAAGGGCAATTTAACTTTGTGTGCACATTAGCATGTGGAGCTTGCAGAATTTTGCCCTGACATTCCTGTCCGCCTGGCATTGCTTGACTACACAGCTCTGGATTCTAGCTTAAATTAGACATCACTCTGCTTTAGATTGTTGGGCCAGACTACTGAGTTCACCATCTCACTCCACACCCTCTGGCCTGCCAGGGTATATTTACCTAAGGCGAAGAACAGAACAAAGACAAAGCAACCAAGGAAGAAATCCTGGCATGGCGACAGGAGCACAGCATCATCTACTGAAGTTCTGAGCTTTGTGTATATAATCACTAGAGCAGTCAGCATGCAGATTGCTGCAGGCAAAGAAGAGAGTATTAGGGTTGTGGTGTCCTTCATGATCCCCTAGCAGCTTATCCCCGCCTTCCCCAACCCAGGGCTCTCCAGATGTCATTGGACTACAACTCCCATCAGCCCCAGACAGCATGGCCAGTAGTCAGGGAGATAATGATAGGATCCATAGTCCAACACATCTGAGGGGCATCAGGTTGGGGGATGCTGGGAGCATTACAAGCCTTTAAATTCCCCTCCATGCATTATATAGGGGAAGTTTCAGGAGGGAGGAAATGGGAAATGGCACCTGACCTCTCCCCTTTCTGTTCCCAGAAACCTCCCCTCCTCCCCAATAAAAGATAGTATTATTGGGATAGTTCTTCGGTCACCATTCCTGAAAACAAAAATTGGCTCAGACTGGAGGGATCTGCTCTTTTGCAATGAGCACAGAAGCAGACTTCTGGTGGTTCCCTCATTGCAAGAAGCAAAGCTACAAGGAACCAGGCAGAGGGCCTTCTCGGTAGTGGTGCCCACCCTGGGGAACGCCCTCCCACCAGATGTCAAAGAGATAAACAACTACCTAACATTTAGAAGACATCTGAAGGCAGCCCTGCTCAGGGAAGTTTTTAATGGGTGACTATTATTCATCTACTACCCCGTTGTTTACTGGGTCTCAACCGTCCTCTATCAACTGTAAGGTTTCCTTTCCTCTCCCCCTGCGCTGTCACTGATTCTCCAGGGCATTTTTTGGTTTGTTTTTGTTTAATGCCAAGCCTAAATAAAATGTCTTTAAAGCTCAAACACTTACTCACTGTACGTGTGCGCACGCACACACCCCTCCCACCCCCCGCAATATGGGGTAGTCATTAGAGTGCTTGACTAGGACCTGAGAGGCAAGGGTTCAAATCCTACCTCAGCCATGAAGGCCGCTGGGTGACCTTGGATCAGGTCACCGTCTCTCAGCCCAAACTACCTCACAGGGTTGCCGTGATAATTAAATGCAAAAGTTGAGAACTAGGAGCTCCCCTACCCTCCAACATTTCTCCAATGAAAATAGGGACAACCTATTCCATAATAACAATAATGTTATTATTTATACCCTACTCATCTGAATGGGTTGCCCCAGCCACTCTGGGTGGCTTCCAATATATATATAAACATAATAAAAGGTTAAATATTAAAAAATCTTCCCTATACAGGGCTGCCTTCAGATGTCTTCTAAAGGTTGTAGAGTTACTTGTCTACTTGGCTTGGGGGGGTTGCATAACTCCATACCCTCCAACATTTCTGCAATGAAAATAAGGATGTCCTAAGGAAATGTGAGACATTCTGGGATCAGATCAGAAACCGAGATGGCTTCTGTAAATCTGGGTCTGTCCCTGGAGAATAGGGACACTTGGAGGGTCTGAGCTCTTTGGAGGAAAGGTGGGATGCAAATGCAACAATAATGAATAAAATCTACAGCTGTAATATAAAGGCATGCTGTTACTCTACCACCCTTCGTAGGTGTATGGCATATACATAATACCTGCAATGAAGTTAGTCACAAACGACATCATGGCTTTGTCAGTATTCTCTTTCAAACAGTGAGAAAAAGAAGTCCACGATGTGATCAAGGCAGTTAAACCACAGCCAATGGCTATTATCAAAAGGGCCCGTACAAGAAACAGATATACTAAAGGAAAGAGAAAATAACAAGTACATATAAAGTTGTCTTACTATAATGAGTCATTCTACTGAGAGAAAAGAGTTTCAGACTACGACCTGGGCTGCAGTCTCCACCCAGTCATGAAAACTCATTGAGTGATCTTGGGCCAGTGCTCTCTCTCGTCCCCTTGACAGGTCCTTGTGAGGCTAAGAACGGGGAGTGTGGAAACAACTATGTCAGGATGGGGGAATTTGTGGTCCTCCAGCCGCTGGTGGTATCCCAACTCCCCGTCACGATGGTGGAAGTTGTTGTTCAGCAACATCTGGAAAGCCAAAGGTTTGCAATACCTGGGTTAACTCCACAAAGCCCCATAGCCCTGACCTGGGCATTTACAGTTCCACAAGAACACCAGCCATTGGCCAGGCTAGTCAGGAAATTTGTTTGTTTTTCATTTGGTTCAGGCTTTTGTCTAGAAAGACTGTTCTTTTTGCTCAGACCTATGGGTAAAAAGGCGACACGGGTGGCGCTGTCGGTTAAACCACAGAGCCTAGGGCTTGCTGATCAGAAGGTCGGAGGTTCGAATCCCCACGACGGGGTGAGCTCCCGTTGTTCGGTCCCTGCTCCTGCCAACCTAGCAGTTCGAAAGCACGTCAAAGTGCAAGTAGATAAATAGGTACCGCTCCGGCGGGAAGTAAACGGCGTTTCCGTGCACTGCTCTGGTTCACCAGAAGTGGCTTAGTCATGCTGGCCACATGACCCGGAAGCTGCATGCCAGCTCCCTCGGTCAATAAAGCGAGATGAGCGCTGCAACCCCAGAGTCAGTTACGACTGGACCTAATGGTCAGGGGTCCCGTTGCCTTTTTATGGGTAAAAAGCTTCCCCCTAAGAAAGTAGCTCAGTTTTCACTAACTGGAAGCTGATCTTATGATGAGCACCTGTGTTACCTCATCTAGGTGGGTACCTCAAGTCCACAATGCCAGTTTGATAATTCCTCAGTTGTGAGATAACACACTTCCTTTAAAGTTCTGAAAAGCCAAATCCTTCTGAAAAACTACATCCTACAGCCTGATTGGCTAGGAAGACAGACCAATTGTTAGGCCAAATTCTGGAAAGTTACTCATATCCCTTTCTTTGGTGCCTCACATTTTCCTTGACTGACACCTGGGCTATAGCAAATATTATAAAAGGTCAGCAGCGATCCCTCCTCTAGAAGGAAGCCTGGCTCAGAAAGGGCTGGTGCACCGCGGTGCCAGTGTGGTGTAGTGGTTAGAGTGTAGGACTAGATCTGGGAGACCAGGATTCAAATCCTGTCTTAGCCATGAAACCCACTGGATTGCCACATTGCATAGTTTAGGCAGATTGTATAACTGCAACATCCCCGATTGTAACTCATTTGGCCAAGGACACTAAGCGATGTGAACACAAGTCGTGTCTCTTACCTGACCTTGCAGAAACGAGGCCACATTTTTTCTGAAAGCAATAAGTCCAAACCCCCATAGTAAAATTGTTTTCCTCTGCAGAATACCCCAGCCAGTAGGGAGATATGGTGATGATTAGAAGCACCAGGAAGTTGACACAGCCGGCACCATAGTGTAGTTTTTTGTAGAAACCAGGCCGGAGCTTGAAGAACTGCAGAGGGAGGGAGAGGAAAGCTCAACATCAGAATAGTAACTGGCACTGGTTCTTCAAAGCACTCCACATATGTGATGGAGAGGGACTGTAGCCTTTTTAATCCATGGGTAGGAATAATTGTTGCACCCGAGCAGAGACAAAAGGAGCCAAACGACACCAAGGGGTTAATCCAGAGAAAGAGCGTTTTTATTCTGCCATGGGAGGGGGGGCAGAGGCACCTGTGTGATTCAGTTCACAAAAGACAGGCCGCGCCGAAAACATTTTACAAGCAGGTTTTATCCTTTTTTCAAACCCTTTTTTCCCTCTCCCCCTTCACAGATTCTTACATAGAAATGTTGCTTTTCGTTCTCTGGCTCTGCTCCCGGAAGTATGTTGCAAGTCAATGTACCAGGACAAGGTTATTTGGATCTGGGAAGCGAAAAGCTTTTCTGTTCTCAGCTGTAGGTTTGTTACAGCGTTTTTGTTACAGAGAGGACTGCTTAGCTCGTGCTTTTTGTCTTAGAGGAATATGCAGTTTTAAAAATGCGTACGCCGAGGCCTGGCTGGGGGGGGGGGGAATTCACAAACAGTTTTTAGGGCTTTCTGGGGTAACCCTAACTGTACCCCTTCAGGACATGTGCAGAGGAGGGTGACCAGGATGATGGTCTGGAAAACAAGCCTTCAATGAGGAACGTTTGAAGGACTTGGACATGCTTAGCCTTGAGAAGACTGAGAAGTGATATGATAGCCATCTTTAAAAACGATACCCTGAGACCTCTGGGTATAGGGCAGTATATAAATTCAATAATAAATTCTCATATATATATGAGAATTTATTATGAGCCATTTCTTTACTGAGGTGACCTGTAAACAGGAACCCACTGCCTTGGCAATCTTACCTCTTCTGTTGTGTCGGCCTCCATGTCAAATCCACTCCCCGGTTCCATGGTTTTCTCTTCATGCTTCTTTCAAAAGGGATCTAGAAGGGTTCTCCCCCTGCTCTTCCAGAGATCTTAGATAATCGGTTGTTTCCCCTTAGGGATTTCTCCCCCTTCTCACTACTGCACACACATAAAGTAAAGGCTGAAAAATATTTTGAATGTAGGCAGGTCACATGCGCATCAAACTTACTAGGTCTAACACATCCTCAAAACACACTCCCCACTCTGCGACCAGGGTTATAACTAGTGCTGTTTTTCTAGAAAAAGAGGTGCTAGAACCAGTGGCGTAGCGTGGGGGTGCAGGGGGGGGCGGCCGCACCGGGCGCAACATCTGGGGTTAGGGCAAATCCACAGGTTAGGGGGCGCAAATCCATGGGTTAGGGGGCGCAAATTACTTGCCTTGCCCCGGGTGCTGACAACCCACGCTACGCCACTGGCTAGAACTCATCACCATAAATGCCTCCCTTGTTATAAGGATGATGGTGCCCACCTGAGAGGTGCCGGAACTGAGTTCTGGCGAGTTCCAGCTGGAAAAAGCCCTGGTTATAAGCAACCTTACATGCCTCTAGTCAACAGAGGAAGGGGTTGAGTGTAACAAGCAGGGGGGAAATGCACTTTGTGGTTCCCCACCAAACTCTGGCCCTTCCTCTCTCCTGCATGAAGCAGCCATGAGAAACTCCTTTGTGCAGGTTTAGAATCCCAAGCCATCATTGTAAGTAAGAATAAACAGTGAGTAAAGAACCTTTCTTCCCCCTTTACCAATGGGATCTTTGTGTGTTTTATTTTATATTTTTAAAGCAGTGTGTGTATGAGACATAATATGCAACATAATGGGTGATGGCTACATCCGGCTTCCAAGCTCTTAACTCTGCTCTAAAATAGAAAGCAATTTTATTTTTTAAACCCAAGAATTTCAATCTTGCATCTTCAGCCCACAGCCCACAACCTAATGCCTCTGTTTACACCAAAAATGCCCATTCCACTCCCTGGCAAGGCAGGTTTCTTAATCGCAAAGAGGCTGTTGAATATGTTCAGGCAAATGCACTTACAAGGCCTCTCTGATAACCCATCGTGTTGCTTTCCAGGTGGGGCAGAGATGCTGTATAAGCTGTTATACTTGATATTTCTAGGGTTCTTGTTGTCCTGGAAATGTCCTGTGGCTCAGGGCTGCAGTAAGCAGGGGAGCGGAAACACAAAGACCCCCCCCCCAACACACTCTTGCTTTTGGTTTCACCACAATTGAGCCTGAAAAAAGAAAGCTTCAACTATCTCCCATTCCAGCCATGCTCTCTACGCTCCTCTTTGTTTGCACTCCTCTCTTGTCATGACCCTAACAACAAAATGGCTGCCCAGCTTCCAAGAGTCTTGGCTTCCAACTGCCATGGAATCTTCCCTCCGTCCAGCGAAAGAGTCTTGAGGAGAGAGACCAGAGCAGCTGCTTTTCATTTGTTCCTCAGGAGAAATTCACACTAAAATGGTGATTGACATAAGGGTTTTTAAAAATAACGATGACAAAACGGGGGGGGGGGTGATGTGCCAATTGCTGCAGAAGTGTGGAGAACTGAAATTTTCATTTATTTATTGTGTTTACATCCCCAATGTTTTCTCCAAGGAGCTCGAGGTGGCATACATGGCTCTCCCCCTCCTCATTTAATCTCTGCAACAACCCTGTGAGGTAGGTTAGACTTAGAAGCTCAGTGTCACTCAGTGAGCTTCATAGCTGAGGGAGGATTATGAACTTTCAGGTCTTAGTTGAACACTCCAAGCACTAAGCCATACTGGCTATAAGCTTGGAAATATGAAGAAACTGAGATAACTGGAGTGGATAGGTTCTTACATTCCTTCTGTTGGGAGGTAGTTGGTGGCTGTCCTGGCCATGAGACGTTGCTACATCCAGAAAAACCAGGTGCAAACATGGATGGGACTGGTGGTATGAGGCAGGCATGGTTGGGGGAGCAGCCTGGAGATGCCAACTCAATCCCTGCCTACAGGCAACAGGCAAGACTGAAAAACCAATAACCCTCAGTAGCACTGATTAGTACAGAGACAAAAAATAACCACGAGATGTTGGAGAATTATGTGATCATCTGTTGTCTTGCCTCTGACTGAGAAACATCCAGCTGTCAACTGTTTTTATTATTTTATTTTTCAATGCTGCTGAGTAAAAGTGATGTGGGTAAAAAGTGAGAGTAAAGTAATCGGCTGTTCCGGGAAGATGTGGAGGCCACCATGTTGGCCAAGGCAGACCATCCTAAACCATTATCCAATCATGTTCCAGGGCCCCATGTTTAGCTCCAATAGGGAAATGTATGTGGTTGTAGATATGGACTATGGTCTACAATTGCAGCTCCGTGTGGTGGTGTGTACTCTTCTCTGGGGATATTTCTATGCACAACCTCTCCTCTGCTGAAGTGAAGCCCAAGTGCCGCAGCAGGCTCTGTGTGCCTGGAAAAGAGGGGAAGAGCGGATCATAACGAATCGTCCAGCAACTTGGCTGTTTCATGGTGCATTATTATTATTTTTGTAACTAGTAAAGATGCCCAGGTGATAGTGTCACCAAAGTAGTTTCAGGTGAGCACCAACAACTTCAGCCAACCCACCCGTGTTAAAGGACACTATCATGCTGAAATAGTGAGTCATAGCTCCGTGTGCAAAGACTCAACAATCCTGCAAAAATATTCAGCATCCCCCAGCTGAAAAGTGGTGGAGGGGAAGTCCCATCTGTAGCCACTGAGAGTCACTGTCTGAGGGGAGAAAAAGCACTGAGTCAGCATAAGGTCGCTATGGGTTCCTATTGTGCATAGTGTCATCTTTCCTAAAGGTAAAGATAAAGGGACCCCTGACCATTAGGTCCAGTCGTGACCAACTCTGGGGTGGTCGCACTCATTTTGCTTTATTGGCCAAGGGAGCCGGCGTACAGCTTCCGGGTCATAATAATAATAATAATAATAATAATAATAATAATAATAATAATTTTTTATTTATACCCCGCCCTCCCCAGCCAAGGCCAGGCTCAGAGCGGCTTACAAGCAATAATAAAAACAAGAAGAATGATTACAACTTAAAAACAAAAATAAAATACAACATTAAAATAATGGAACATTAAAATATTAAAATGTAGCCTTATTGCAGGAGGAGAAGGAAAAGAAAAAAGAAAGAGAGGGAGGGAGGGAATCAAATTGGCTCCAAGCCAAAGGCCAGGCGGAACAACTCTGTCTTACAGGCCCTGCGGAAAGAAATCAGATCCTGCAGGGCAGAGCGTTCCACCAGGCCGGAGCCAGAGTTGAAAAGGCCCTGGCTCTGGTTGAAGCCAATCTAACTTCCTTAGGGCCTGGGACCACTAGGGTGTTGCTATTTATGGACCTTGAGGCTCTCCGTGGGGCATACCGGGAGAGGCGGTCCCGTAGGTACAAGGGTCCTAGTCCGTGAAGGGCTTTAAAGGTCAAAAGCAGCATCTTAAATCTGACCCTGTACTCCACCGGGAGCCAGTGCAGCTTGAAAAGCACTGGGTGAATATGCTCCCATGGCAAAGACCAGCATGACTAAGCCACTTCTGGTGAACAAGAGCAGCACACGGAAACACCGTTTACCTTCCCGCCGGAGCAGTACCTATTTATCTACTTGCACTTTGACGTGCTTTTGAACTGCTAGGTTGGCAGGAGCAGGGACTGAGCAATGGGAGCTCACCCCGTCACGGGGATTCGAACCACCGACCTTCTGATCGGCAAGTCCTAGACTCTGTGGTTTAACCCACAGTGCCACCCACGTCTCTGTCATCTTCCCTAGGAATGCTGGAAAAAAACACACAAGCAACCTTTGCTTTGAAAAAGGTTATGGGAACCTATTTATCCCATTGTAATGAAACTGCTAGTGATGTGTTTGTTTTGAAAGCTTCAACAAATCAAGGGCCGCTTTAATGCTCATCAATCTCTGCTCTTCTAACTGGCCAGCGTGGCAACATTCTGCTCAGTGAACAACTCCTTGTGGAAACAGGGAAACAGAATCTACAAGTCACTTCCATTCATATTGCAGTTTCAATAGGGAGCCTAGAGCAGTGTTTCCCAACCTTTTTTGGGCAAAGGCACACTTGTTTCATGAAAAAAATCTCGAGGCACACCACCATTACAGCCCCGTGACGTCAGCGCGCAGCGTCACGCCGGGAGGGACGCACGAAAGTGTAAGTTTCAATTTTTCCCCCTCCCCCTTGCCTTCCTTCTGTGCCAACCGCCAAAAAGCCAAGAAAAAAGCCAAGACTTTAGGGCAGCAGGTCGACACGGAAGAAGCTCCTACCTAAGGACAGGTGCGACGGCCGTGTCCTCTTCTGCCACACTTGGCAGCCCTGCCTCACGGTCGTGACTCCCACCCTGATTTCTCCCCGCAGGTCGAGCGGCACAGGCAGCCCAATGTGTCCAGCCCAGACACAAGCCCCGCTTCCCCACTCTAGATCCTGAATGCGACCAAGTGCTCTGGACTCCCGAGCAGGGTGGGAAAGAGGACTCGCATCTGGTAGCCTCCGGGCTCCTCGCCTGCTCGAGGGATGGCATTGCAGGCAAGCTGCCGGCCGTCGCCATCGCCGCCCCCTCATGCGAGTGGACCTGCCCGGAGTGGTGGGCCGGGGGAGGCTCGCTCTCTGTGGGGATGTGGCCCGCACGCGCGGCCCCGCTTCCTCCTGCCCAGGGCTGAGCTCCTTACCCGCGATCTCGGTCTCGCGCACGCGGATCCCACTTATTCCGAAGCTCGCGCCACTAGCCGGGGCTCTCACACCGTGCCAGGGCGAGGCGGCGCGGCCCACTGACGTCATTGCGGCTCGCCGCCGCCCTTGACTTCCCTGTTCCCTCCCCTCCCTCGGGTCGCCGTGGTTACCGAGGACTGCAAGCTGCTCGGGCGAGCGTGGGGCATTAAGTGGGAGAAGGAAAATTAAAATTAAAACTCGCCTGAAGGCCGCCTCTCCGGATATCTTTCGAATTTTTTAATTTTTCCCGCGGCACACCAGGCAACGTCTCGCGGCACACTAGTGTGCCGCGGAACACCTGTTGGGAAACACTGGCCTAGAGAAAGGTGAGTTTTTCCTTACTGAGAGTTCTATACAGACGACCCCTTGGAACTTTGATCTCTTTCTGTCTAATTGATTACTCTTTAAATTACTGACATGGCAAACCAAAACTCTTCTATCTTCAATAGCAATGAGGAAGCAGATGGTAAAGCAAGGACTTCCTTTTGGTATGTAAATTCATCTCTATTCTTTTTATGTATTTCATGCTGTTTGTATCAAGTGCCATGTGGGACTGGTCAGTTTCAGATACTCTCTGTTTCTAAATTTCCCAGCCTTAAGTTCCCTTTGCCCCCCCCCAATTTCCACTTTTCTTCAAGAAGTCTGCCTGAAAATCTGCATGTGTTTTCACAGAAGCCTTTTCATCTTGCCGCATCTTATTATGGTGCCCTTGTCTAGACTAGCACTCCAATAACAACAACATGAAAAAGAACAGCAACAACAATGCACAAATTCAGTCTCTCACTCCCACAAATTATGTGGAGTCCCTTGCATTTGGGGAAATCCCAGGGGTCAGCACACCCCGAGAAATCTACCTTCATGATCATGTCAGGTGAGAATGTAGACTAGCTCTCCTAGACTCTCAGCTTCACCTGCATCCCACTCCCTCCCACCTGTATACTCACCCAAGAGAAAGCACAAGATGCAGACAAAGCAAGCTAGGAAGAAACCACAGAAAAGTGTGAGGCGAGTGCCATCTGTATCTACTTCGGTTCTAAGCTTCATGTCTGTAATCACCAGAGAGCACACCAGGATGATACCTGCAGGCAAAAAGAAAGAAGCGTTGGGGTAATATGTGTCCCTTCTGCCTTTGGAGCCGGGTTTCTCTTTCTGTCTCTGTTCATCTCCTCCACTCTTCGCACATTCCACCATCTTCAGCTGACCGGAAGTCTCCCTCGCCATTGAACAATTCCACCCATTATCCCTTGCTGCCCTGTTCTCATATCACTTATTTCAGGTCCCTCTGTGTGACCTTTGGCTTATCCCTTGCACCCTCATTCTCAGTTGCAACCAAACATAAATGATGCACAATCGCTCTGTGGTTTTTCCATGCTGACCATTCTAGATTGTAAGCTTCTTGGGAACAGGGACTTGTGTATTTCCTTT